ATGTAAGGGTAATTTTTGGTGGTGCTAAATGTTTATGATAGGTAATAAACAATATGTAAGGGTAATTTTTGGTGGTGATAAATGTTTATGATAGGTAATAAATAAGATGTAAGGGTAATTTTTGATGGTGATAAATGCTTATGATAGGTAATAACTAAGATGTAAGGGTAATTTTTGGTGGCGATAAATGTTTATGATAGGTAATAAATAAGATGTAAGGGTAATTTTTGGAGGTGATTCAGGTTCATTACGAATGTGATGCACGCTAATTTTTTTCGTCTTAAATTTGACAAAAGTAAAATTATTTTCCTGTTTATGTTTTCAAGCATCTTCAGTGTTTGTGTGTTAGTTTGATTATGTAGGTGAGTAACCAAAACTACGATTGGCGAAAAACTTTGTTTGCCTCATGGAGGATATAATCGTANTTAACGAGCTCTACATTTAATGTAATGCATTAATTGTATCTCACTGTTAACAATTTACTGTATGCTAATAGCATTATTATTATTATTATTTTTTTTTTATATATTTATTTATTTATTTATTTTTATCTCGTAAGCTTCGCAAATACTGTATTTGTGTTTTTCAGAAATGATTTTCGAATTTTCGATTAATTTATTGTTGAAAATTTTGTCAAATTTTCTAACTATTCATGTTTTGAGTTTCCTTTTGTTTGTAGATTTGTCTTTACGGCTGCCTCGCCGTAACTCTTCTTTTTGAAACTGTATCTATTTTCATGGGCTTTAGACAAATTCTGGTACTTTTCATCATCACAATATGTTTGTTACCTTTTTTCAATGTTTTTTTTTTCTTTTTTTGCCTCCCCTATTATGTTTGAACAAAACTCCTAAATTCTATTTTCTGAGTAACTACCATTGTTAATTCTAAGATTTCACTAAATTCTTTGAGGCCTTCTGGTGTTGCCATGGATCGCCACCAAGCATACTTTTTTGAATCCTTTTTTTCTTTTGCCGAGAGGTCACGTACGCGCATTTAGAGCTTACAGTATTCTCCGGATGCCCCCTGTCGGGGGAGGGACGGGGTTAAGCTTTGATTTATCAATTACTATTACTTAGTCTTTCTTTACTGTTTAGATGTAATAATTAGTCATTGTATCATATTCATACATGATACTGAGACTACAAGGAGCGATGCAACTCCATCAAATTGTATGACATAGATGATATCTAACGATAGTTCGAAAGCAGTGGTTGCATGCCGAAAAATCCTCTTTGTAGTCCTTATCGCTCATTAAATTTAAATACATTTATTGAAATGCGTTGAGTCTTAATAGTAAATCTGATAAATTTTAATAAACAGAATATTTTTTTATAAAAATAATATATTTAAACATTAAAGGGTAAATTTACTTTCGATCTACACTTTACGGCTACCATAGGAGACGGATTTAAAATATTTTTAATTTATGAAACCGTTATTTGAATAAAGTGACTGTTTTTTTAATAATATCTAATAATCTTTTTTATACTTGGAATAAAATTTTATTTTTTGTTTTTTAGTAGAAATGTAAACAAAGTTGAAAATTTTTGAACATTATAACACGATGCTGTACGTCAGAGCGACACATGAATGCCGAAAAACTTGGAAACATGTTAAAAACAAGATAAGGCGCAGTCGTCAAGAAAGAAATGGAAGAGAAAAATTAATGGAGAAAAATAAAAGGAACCATATGGGCAAAAAAAAAAAAAGGCAAATGAAAGCAACATACATATTAATTCTACAGCTCTGAAGTAAAAAGATTTTTATACCAAGTATTTTTTTTCTGTTCCACTTTTTTTTTCTGATGAGATTATTTGTTTAAAATATCTTTCGTGTTCAATTTTCAAAGAATTAATTAGGAAAGGAAAGATGGTTGAAATAATTGAGATTATTTTCGCTCCAGTTTTTTTTTTTTTTTTTTTTTTTTTTTTTTTTTTTTTTTTGGATGGGATTATTTATTTAAAATATCATTCTAGCTCTCAATATTTAAGGAATTAGTTAGTAAAGGAAAGATAGTTGAAATAATTGAGATTTTTTTATTTATTATTTTAATTTACCATGTCACATTAATTGATATATTGCATGTCTCATATGGATAGGTGATGAAATAAATAGAAATAATGTAAAAGAACAAAAAGATATCAAATAATAAAACCTAAAAAGAACTAATAGCTCTTCATCGTAAATAATGAAAAAGTAAATTTATATTGGTCGAAAGACAAAATGAGTGATAGGTGTAATGCTGCCATAAAATAGACGAATGAATGAACAAATAATACTAAAAATTTTATTTTTATTTCCTATTTTTCAAATTTATTATATTTGGAATTGAGAATGTTTAAAAAATATCATAGTAAAAGAAAAAAATTAATTGTTCGCCCAAAGTAACTGAATGTTTTTTTCTCCAAAGCCCATCCGATTGCCACTCGTAATTCAGTTATCAGTAGGGCAAATTTGTTAGCCACTCTTTCAGGGTGGGCCAACAATTAATAGAATGTTTTTTTTCTTCCAATGCCCTCCTGGATAATGATCTAGGTCATACAAGCACCTAAAGGGCAGATTTGTTGGCCACTCTTTCAGGGGCACCATATTAGGTGGGCCAACGTTGCTCCCACAGTAAGGACAGATAGTAGTACACTGTTAAAATTTTCTTTCAAAAATTATGTTAAAATAACTACCAGCTGTCTGTCCATCCGATTAACCGTAAAGTTTACGGTAAAGAACATTTTTTTCCTTTATGGTTTTGAAACCATTTTCAAATAGTATGGTTATTAAACTATGAATACAAAACTAGACGGTGTTTTATTCATTTACAACTAGCATTATTCAAAAGCGTAAAAAAAAAAGAATTATATTACTAGACATGGGAGCTCGGGTTTTCTTAAGGTAATGGGCATAGGAGAGTGCCGGACACTGGAAATTCTTCATGTGTTGAAGGGAAGGGAGGAAATATTGTGGTGTCAACACTAGGACGCGAACTTCATTTCTGTCGGTCATGAGATTGACAGATAAGCCCGCTCGGCTATGATATGTACGCAATTTCAAAGAACTAAGTTGCTTCAATAGGTGGTTCTAACTGGTGCGATAAAATTCTGGTTGTTTAACCGTATTAAGTGAAAGAAATTAAGAAACAGTCTTTCTCAAACTTAACAGTTTTATTACCATTTTATGTATGGTTATTTGACAGTTTTGATAAAATATGGTAAAATAACCGTTCAATAAATTGTTATTTAACCATTTTTTCTGAGAAATTTCTAACAGAAGAGAAATTTCTAACAGAGAAGAAAAGAACATCCATGCCTTGCCCGGGATTCGAACCCAGAACCTTTCTGATGCAAGGGTAGTTCCCTAACTCCTATACAGGCCGATCGGCTATTAACTAATTGAATGTTGTTAGCAGTATTTTTAATTCGCTTCGAATTAAAAAGTTTAAAAAGCAAACTTTTGAGCAGTTAGCCGTCCATTGCTACGGTAAAATTTCGATTTTATTCTTAGAGCAAAATAAAAAGAATTTATATTTAAAAAGGCGTTGACGGCATGCTTAAAAACTAGAAATATTGTAATAATTTATAATGTTTTTACTTATCGTTTGAATATTAATTAAAAGCTATTTTATGCTTTATTTTGAATAAACTGTATATTTTGTTTGCGTAAATGTTGCTTTCAAAAGCTGTAGCGCTCTACTCGCAGTTTAAATAGTTTTTGATTAAACAATAGTTCCAAAACAACTTAAACTGTGCTTTTAATGAGTTAAGTTATAGACGAAATTTAAACAATTTTATAACTTAATTGATAAAGTATTTTAAACAAATACTTACTCATAACACTTAACCAAAGCTTCTAAAAACCTTTTATAAAAGTCACTTATAATGAAATAAATTTATTATCAATGTTAATAAATAAGACTTTACTAAAAATATGAAGAAATTTTTTTTCAATTTATGTAATTTAATTTTGTACTAAATTCAATTTATGTATAAAAATACTATTAAACTCATTTATTAACAATGTAAATTTGTACAAATATACGGATAATGTTATATAATATAAACATAGAAATCTTTTAATACTATTAAACTCATAGGAATCATTAAATACTATTAAACTCATAAGAATTTAAAAAATACGATTGAACTCATTTATAAACAATGTAAATTGAACAAATATACGAATAATGTAATAAAATAAACATAGGAATCATTTAAAACTATTAAACTATCAGGAATAAAAAAATACCATTAAACTCATTTATTAACGTTGTAAATGTAACAAATATATAGATAATCTTACAAATAAATAAACATAAGAATTATTTAATACTATTAAACTCATTTATTAACTATGTAAATTGGACAAATATACGGATAATGTTATAAATAAATAAACATAAGAATCATTTAATACTATTAAACTCTTTGGAATCAAAAAATACTATTAAACTCCTTTATTAACAATGCAAATTGAGCAAATATACGGATAATGTTATAAATAAATAAACATAAGAATCATTTAATGCTATTCAACTCATAGGAATCAAAAAATACTATTAAACTCCTTTATTAACAATGCAAATTGAACAAATATACGGATAATGTTATGAATTAATAAACACAAGAATCATTAAATACTATTGAACTCATAGGAATCAAAAAATACTATTAAACAAATTTTTTAACAATGTAAATGGAACAAATATACGGATAATGTTATAAATAAATAAACATAAGAATAATTTAATACTATTAAACTTATAGGAATTAATCAAAAAATACTATTAAACTTCTTTATTAACAATGTAAATTGAACAAATATACGGATAATGTTATAAATAAATAAACATATGATTCATTCGTGAAATTAAGGAATGAACGTATTCCACTTTTCGAATTTCACTCAACTGTAAATATAGTTTTTCCTTGGCGATTTATCGCCAAACAATGACCCAGCCCTATTTCCAAAATACTCTCTTTCTCCACCTCTTTATCGGCGTTCCACTTGATGGCCCTGACTTGGAATATGATTTCTCGAATTAACTTACGAAAAGAAAGAGCAACTAAAAAAAGAAATATATATCCCAATCTTTTCTCCCTATTCCTAAACGAAGAGTGGTTCCCTAAATCTCTGACGTCACTTCCCCCGTTACAAGCTGATGATTTCAAACAGCACACATGGAACCTATGTTTAGTTACAAAATCTTCTCTTCTCAAGTAGCACCACTTTAGTTATTTCTTTAGAATCATGGAGAGATCCAAAAAATATTTTTTGCTTTTTTGGGGTCTATTGGAGACTTGGGTTTTTAGTGGGACTATTTTGGGGTGGTCTGCTCTGCACTATATGCTCAAAAAAGAAGGGGTTTATGGACATTTATGTACAACAATTGAAGTTCCTGCAGAAAATTCTACATTATTTGACGTTTCCGAGCTTGTTGATGCAATATATGAGTTTCCTGATGTAGTACCTTCTGTGCAAGTAAGTAATGAATATTTTTGATCATATTTCAAAATAATTGCATTTAAATTAAATTTGAAATTTAGATTTTTAATATTTATGTAACATATATTTGCAAACATTTAAATGTCTTAAGAGAAAATGCAAGATCTCTAAATAAGAAATAATAATATTTTTTTAAAAAACTTTTATAAAAAGTAATTTGTTTTTCAAATTAAAATTCATTTAATTTCAGAAATTAGTTTATGAAAATTAAATTAAAAAAATTAAAACTTAAATAATATAATTTAATAACATTAAATTAATATTTTTTTATTTAAAATTAAAACCAAATTAAAATTTAAAAAAAAAAATTCAAGTGTTCTTTAGACATGTGTACTTTTCTACGAGTAAGAATACCGAAATCTTCCATCAAACAATTTTAAAATTCCTTGGTGTTTATAATGTTTGATATAATTGAAAATATTTTACTTTAATGCTTTAATTTTAAATCAAAGAAATATATAATTTAATTTGTTTTGATTATTTTTTGGAATTTGAATTTTAAAAAAAATACTGAAATAATTTTGAAATTTAAAGTGAATATTTTTCTTTTCATTATTATTATAAGTATTTTTTTTTAAAATTAAGTCGATACCTAAATTTTATTTTTCTTAACTTTTATAAAACAGTATAAGTTTTAAGAGAATTCTATGTTACAAATTACATGCAGTTTTCTACTTCCTGTTATTTAGTTTTTACGATATATCATTCAAAAATTGTATAACAGGAAAAACAAATTTTGGTGAATACATTCAAAGTTTTAGAATTACTTAAAGTTCAGTACGGATCTAAGGCGAAACTCTATCTCACATTTCTAAAAGAATCTCTCTATTTATCGAAAATAAAGCTGATTCTGAGTTCTGGCAACAAATGGACAGTGGAAATCAATCAGTCTTAACGAAAAATTCGAATCAGTAGCAAAAAAAAAAATGTCCTATTTATAAATGAAGCACGGAACTTGATACGAGATGATAGTAAAGAAAATTATTTCGCAGTTCTCTGTTTATCAAAGGATAATGCAGTGCTGAAAAGCTTAACTTACACATTTATTTGGGGAAAACTATGTCTTGTTCTCGTTTTGAAGTTGTGATCTTCTCCTAACATCTGTCATCAGTTAAAAGAAAAACTTGATAGATAACATTTTTATTTCATTTCTTTTTTTTCTTTCTGAAAATGAAATTGGATCAAATAGGAAAATATTTACTTTAATTTTTCTAATTTTAATTGCGTCAAATAAGTACAATTCTATTTTCATCAATAAGTATTAGTTTTGAAAGAATTTAATTTATTAATATATAGGATTACTTGTCACAGAATAATCAATGGTATCTGTTAAAATATTTAATGCAATTAAAGTTATTTTAAGTGAACATTTAAGATGTTTTATATTTATTCATTAATTTTTTGTTTGTTTCATTAATTTTAATGCTTAATTGTTAGTGTAAACTTTCATTTAAACTTATGAAATAAAATAAAAAGTTCTTTTTTTTTCTTTTTTTATAGAAAAAGAAAATTAACTAACTGAAACTACACATTTTCTTCGAAATTTTACGGTACTTAATATGTTATAAATAATCATACTTGAAAATTTTCCTTAAAAAATTACTGCTGTAACTGCAAATTTGAATTAAAATTGTGTAATCTGCTTAAATTTGTATAGTTCCCGTGTATGTTAGGAAGAAACACATAAAATATACTGTGTTTTAATTACTAAGTGTATTTCAGATTAACATCAAAAGTTATTTCAAAATTTAATAATAATTATAATAAATTTTCTAACCATTACAAAACACATAGATTGTAAAAACACAAAAGGAGAATTGTGATTATCCCATAAAACTTTTTACATCGAATATTTATATACTTATACTTTAGATTTCTGAAATTTCTCTCTTAGGATATAAAGATAAAAAAGAGTTTTTTGTTGTTTATTTATAGGAGAACAAACTGATAATTTGTAGAGGGAAGATTAATTAAAGTTGTATGCAAGAATAATAATTGAACTTTTTCTGAAAAAAATCCAACTGATAATTCACTAATGAACTTATAACTTCTCTTAACAATTGAACAATCGCCTAACAATCGAATGTCGATGATGATAAATTCTAAAAGTCTCTCACGTTCAGTTATTTTCATGTAAATAATTTATTAAATGTGAGATGAAAACTTAATGAATCATAAATCCGATAAATTCTCCCACATATAATGATTATCATTATCGATTTATTGATTGTGAGGCAAAATATTGATGTATGATAAATTCCAAAAACTCTTTCACTTGTAAATGTTTTGAAGTCAATCCAGGTTATACCCTATCCTTCATTTAAACAATGGTTTTTTTATTTAAATAAAAGCATTGTTTTCTTACTGCAAAATTACTGAATGAATAGAACTTTATTGCACTCATTACTATCGTTTATGAAATAATCGAAGATAGGTATACGAGAAAATACATAACAGTTACCTATCTGTTCACAAGTACTAAACTTTCAGCAATTGAAGGGTAACAACCGTTACGCGCGAAGGATAACAGTTATTAAATCAAAGAACATATTACAATGCCCGCCCTTCAATTAAACGTTTATGTTCGATTTTTTTTATAAAAACAGAAGGATAAAAAGCAAACAGAAAAGACAAATGCTTTACCAACTAGGCGAGACTCTATAAAATTGGATAAAGGAAATAAAATTATACGATAAAAACAATAAAGGTATATTTATGGGTTTCGTGATTGGGTATTAAATTATTTTGTTCGAAGGAGAGGCATGTCAGGAAGTAGAATATTGTTGTTTTCAATGACTTTTCCATGCAGAAAAAAAATTGAATAAAAACTGGTTATAATTTTTTTTAGGAAAAACAATATCGAATTCTTGTCATATATCATATTAGTTAAAATATTTTTCACGGAAGAAGGCTGAAATGATAAAAACTAAAAGTGGTTTAAGACGAGAATAAATTAAAATGAATAGGAGTTAGGTAACATAATTTTATACTTTTTAAATTCCTGTACATTTAAAATATATTTCGAGATTATATGAGTAAGAAAACATTGTGTTTTAAAGTTAAGAAATGATTTTAAGTATTACTTAACTTGTTTAACTTGTTTACATATGTAGACTAAATTAGGGTATTCAAATGATAAGAGAACACATTTTATAATATTCAAAGAGTGACTTTCAGTATTATTTTTCAAGAAATATTTGTTGAATTAATTGAGATATTCCACCGATAAGAGGACTACATTTATTATTCAAAGAGTGACTTTTAGTATTTAAGATATATATGTTAAATACATTGTGTTATTCCAGCCATATGAGAAAAATGTTTATAATATTCAAAGAGTGACTTTCAGTATTATTTTTAAAGAAATATTTGTTGAATTAATTGAGATACTCCACCTATAAGAGGGCTACATTTATTATTCAAAGAGTGACTTTTAGTATTAGGATAGATATGTTAAATACATTGGGTTATTTCAGCCACCAGAAGAAAATGTTTATAATATTCAAAGAGTGACTTTCAGTATTATTTTTAAAGAAATATTTGTTGAATTAATTGAGATACTCCACCTATAAGAGGGCTACATTTATTATTCAAAGAGTGACTTTTAGTATTAGGATATATATGTTAAATACATCGGGTTATTTCAGCCATCAGAAGAAAATGTTTATAATATTCAAAGAGTGACTTCCAGTATTATTATTAAAGAAATATTTGTTGAATTAATTGAGATATTCCACCTATAAGAGGGCTATTTTTATTATTCAAAGGGTGACTTTTAGAATTAGGATAGATATGTTAAATACTTTGGGTTATTTCAGCCATCAGAAGAAAATGTTTATAATATTCAAAGAGTGACTTTCAGCATTACTTTTTTAAGATATAAATGTTGAATACATTAGGATATTCCACCGATAAGAAGACAGTGTTTATAATATTCAAAGAGAGACTTTCAGTAACATTTTTAAGATATAAATGTAGGCTATATTGGAATAATCCACCGATAAGAGATAAACTTTTATAAAATATTTAAAGAGTAACTTTCAATATTACTTGTTTGAGAAATGAATGTAGAATATATCGGGATATTCTATAGATAAGAAGACAACGTGTACAATATTCAAAGTGAGTGTGAACTATGGCAACATTTATTTCAGAACTAATCGTGAATTGCGTTAGGATATTCCATGAATACGATGACATCTTTTATTAAATTCAAAGAGTAACTCTCAACATTTCTTTCATAAATAATAATACATATTTAACCACTATAAATACTGGATATTTAACAAGCAGGTATTTTTTTGGAAATAACTTAAAATATGTTTTTGAGGTCAAAATAATACTCATCCGAAAATAATATTTTTAATTAACTTTTAATTATTGTAATAATATTTAATTAATTATTTTAAATTAAAATTTTTTACCAACTAGAAGTTTAACTCTTTCCTCGCGACGGACGAGATAATTCGTCTTCCAGGAATATTCGCTATGCTCTATTGTTCTATTAGTGAATATGGTTATTGGTTGCAATTGATTATTATTTTTTAAAGTAAAATAATTAAGTTTTAAAAAAAATTGTGTTTTATTTCAATTTTTGAGCTGTAGGAGAACTCTCTATGAGCAGAGAGTGGGACAAAGGGGTGTCATTGCTGCGATGGAAGTGTTAAGTTTAGCATAGCTGTACTTAAAAAATTGTTTGCTGTGCGTATTGATAGACAAAATAAAATAGTTTTTCAAAAACATGAACAGTAAAAACATCCGTATTAAATTACGGTTTGTATCTTCCGTATTAAAGTATTAAAGTACTTTGGGTGTATCTTCCATAAAATCCATTTTACCAATACATTTTATTCAAAACCATTTGAAATTTTTCTCAATGGTTAAGAAACTTTCAAAAGCGTTTATATTGATCTTAATAGTGGTTGCAAAAACAAACATATCTACATTCTAAGGTATTAAAGTTTAACGTAAACATT